AAATACGTCCCATAAATTAACTTACAAAGTAAATGTATTTCATGTTCAACATAAGAACGATGACTGAACATAACAGTAAACAGAACTGGGTTTGTTGGTTCCCTCTGTGTCCCTGTGTGGCTCTGTGTGTGTCAAGAGCTATAGTAGAGTGTCTTCATGCTGTTGTATGATTGGTGTTTGCCACAGCACCTCCGCTTTTAGGGGTTGACGTAGACTCAAACGTCGCCCGGAGTTCCCCCGGTGTTGTTGCGGAAGCTGCTGCAGTAGCTAAAGCTGCATTAGCAAAACAAACGCACATTTTGTTTGCAAAAGGTGCAGCGGGCTTCCCAACACGTTCCCCTCCCACTGGTTTCAACCGAGCACTAAAATCTCGATGTTTTCCAACCAAATACAGTTGAACTTACACTTCCCAAATTTATTTGTAAGTAGATTCGAAGATACCTCATTTCTGACTGCCGCTATCTGAACTTTGTTGCTAGGTTACTAGTTGATTTCCATGTTGAATTATTTTAATAAACAAATTGTGGGGGGACTGAAAGCTATTACCGTACGTAGTGGTTACTTTGCAGCCCGGGCATTTCCCCCAAAACACATTTAGACGCGATCGCAACACAGAAGTACCTTTCAAATCCCATCATTTTTAAAGACCTTCTAAAATCATATTTAAGACCTTTCTTATTTTTTTGATCATAATTAAGACTTTTTAAGGCCTTAAATTCCGATTATCAAATGTAAGACTTTTTAAGACTTGTAAAGACCCCGCGGGAACCCTGTACTACCTTCCACCAGATCTCATGTTTGTCTCAGTGTTTTTCTCTTCTAAGGCTGTGAGGTGAATATAAGATGTGTGAACAGTCACCTGGATGAGGAGCTTCCGGTCCTCTTCGATGTTCTTGTGGGTCGTTTCCTGCTCCTGTTTCTGCTCCGTCTTCATCGGTACGTTGATGTTCACCCTCAGCTTTTTACTGTGGAGCGAGAGCAAATTAAATAAAATATATTTAACATGTCTTCAGCAGCGGGGAGATATGATTGGTGTGTCTCTGCTCACTTCTTGTATCCCAGGAAGAGTTTGATGACGGTCTCGGGTTTGAACTCAACCTCGTCCACGTTGGCGTTCTCGTCCTCCATCACCTGTAGGACACACACACACACACACATCACAGATCTGAACACAAACATATTTTAATCACACCTCCCGATGCAACCCTACACATCTTAAAACAAACACAAAGAAACAAAATATCAAAATCAGGATCAGCTGTTTATTTACTCACAAGCAGCTTGGATTTTAACAAAATCTGCAGAACTTGAACCAGAATGTCCTGAAATAAAATAAGAAAAGTCGGTTAGTGGAGGAATACTTCTGCTTATTCAAAATATCTATATACATGTTGTATAAGGATACGTTTGTGAGAATGTGATCAAACTCACAGTTTTGATCTGCGTGCTGTCGGTCAGCTGCTGCACGGTGTAGCTGTCCTCTGTGTTGTACTGCAGCAGGATGGCCATCTGGAAGGTGGAGGCCTGCAGCGTGTACCTGCAAACAACAACAACAGGTTCAGTGTGAAACAGAATCAAAGTGCAGGCTCCTCACAGCTGCTCAACATGTTGAATAAGAAGGAACATGTAAATATCCTAAAGCTGAGCAGAAACACGTACCTGTTCTTGAAGCAGTTAGTGACCAGCTCTCCTTTGGACAGGTGGTAGAGCCAGGTGAGCTTCCTGCCGCTGTGTCTGCTGGCGTAAAATGCAGTGAAGCGCTGATAGCTTCGCTCCAGCTAAACGGAGAGCGAGAGAAAAAAAAGTGGAGTTAGACAGGGAGGTCTACGGCCAAAGGAGGGACCCAACCTAACTGCAAAAGACAACACTGACTGAACTTTAAATGCTAAAATATTATAACTGACTTGGATTTCTCACAGCCTAAGAAGGCTGTGATCAACAATCGTTAGTAACTAGTGCAGCAGGTCAACACATTTCACACAGGTCTAAATCAAGTAATAGCCAAAAAAAACAGGTTTCTATCCCACAGTAGGAACAGAATAAAGGTAAACCATGCTGTGGATTTAGTTTTCCTCATTAAACCTTCTTCTGCATAGTGAATGTTTTTTTCTGAGTTGAACAGGTTTTACCTCGGAAGGCAGAGCGAAGGTGCAGGACTGCTGGAAAGGCCAAGACCCAGAGCTGAGGACCTGGATACTGAAGTCCACTGCAAGATATACACGCAAACTCAGTTTCTACTCAGAAAGGTTTTATGGGCATTGCATTTAGTAGCTCTGTATAAGCTCAAATCAGAATTTAGAAATACGTATTAATGTAATGATTGGCGTCGGATACCAGTGTTTCTTTGTGAGTACTCACAGTCAAGAGGCTCAGAGTTGGTCAGGTGTTTCTTGAATTGTTCGTTCAGGTCTTTACTGACTCCAATATCCTGGAACATGCGCTGCAGTTTGGACGTGTACTCGAAGCCGCATGCTTGCTGCACGAGAACAAAGAAGAAAAAACATTCAGCGTGAGGTGTTTGGGAAACTGAGGTTTAGGGTTGCTGTGGATGTTTTTGTGTACACACACCTTGAGTTTGGAGATCATGCTAGCCTCGGCGTCGTCGCTGGCGCTGTTCTGGTGGACCAGACGTTTGGCCAGCATCTTAGCGTAAAACTTCTGGAAAACATCTTTGTCCTCGATGTACTTGAACACAACCATCTGAAAAGAGGAAAGACAAAAACATACAAAAAGGTTTAAGAAATGGATAACCTGGACAGCTGCACAATTCAAACTGCAAAAAAAAGCATTTCACAAGGGCACTAAAACAGTGTGAAATGATGCATTGTGTTTCAGAAAAAATGTAATTGTATGACTTAAAAAATAAAAGGTATGCATTTGATAATGATAAACAATGGAGACAAAATTCAGATACTATAGTCTAAAAATATTTTCACTGCAGTGTCTACAACTTAAGAAAGAAAAACCGTTCTTTACAACAGTTACCACGAGAGTAACTAGAGCCGCTTTCACACCAAGAACTTTGCCGTACTTAGTTCCCAGCACTTAGTTCCCCCATGGAACAAAAGAGCAGATCGCGTTCACACCGGAATAAGTCCCTGAGGGAAGATTACGCAAATGAAGCCACTGACGTCACTTCTTCTTCTTCTGCTTTGGGTTTACTGGCAGGCTGCAAACAACTTCACGGCGTATACTGCCACCCGAAGTCCGCGGAGGTGGGGACTGGAGCCTTCCGAGTAAATCGCCAGAACCTCCCCATCACTCCACCGCTCCTATGTTTTTTTTTTGTGTTGCTTAAGTTATTCTCTCTCCGTTGGTGCCCGGGGATAATGCTAATGCTAATAATGCTAATGCCAGCAAATACAATGGCGGCTTCACAAAACTTTTCAGAGTTTTACGGGGCGTGGTTTGAAATTCGCCCAGCCAATCAGAAATTGGCAATTTCTGATTGGCTGGGCGAATTTCAAACCACGCCCCGTAAAACTCTGAAAAGTTTTGTGAAGCCGCCATTGTATTTGCTGGCATTAGCATTATTAGNGGGGATGGGGGGTTGAGGTGACGTGCAACAACGTTAACCTTTCTGTTGGTCGCTTGTTAGCAGACCATTCACGCGATGGCAGAGCGAACAGGTACAGGCAGGGCCCATAATGATAGCCCTATAGTTTAAATCTCCTACCCACACATAAACATATGGAAATGGGTTNAATTCGCCCAGCCAATCAGAAATTGGAACTTTTTTCTCCCCAGGAAAGTACCACCTCTCTAGCAGGGACTGAAAAGAGGGGAAAAGTTCTCATGAACTAAGTTCTCTTTTTGGTGTGAACGCAAAATTCCAGGAACTATCGGACCTAAAAGGGAAAAGTACGGGGAAAAGTACTCCGGTGTGAAAGCGCCTTAGGTCAGTGGTACTTTTCTAGTACAGCTGCTGCTACAACATGACCAGAGACACACAGAGTATACATACACATGAGTATATTTGTGCAAACACACACACAGATCACAGTTTCTCACCACTTGGTTGAGTGTGTCCTCCAGTTCTGCTTCCTCTGGATTTTTAGAGCTGGAGTAAAAACAGAAACAGGTTATAGTTTATAGGTGTATAAAGAGAAAACATGTATTTCTAGTCTTATTCTATCTTGGATTGTTTTAACTTTCTCTTCTCTTGATTTGCATTGCTCAACATCCTTAATAAACAATCAGCAGTGACACTACAAAAAACTGAAAAAGCACAGGTTTTAAAAACAACCAGACTCAGGGTTTACTTATTTTCTTGTTCTAAAAATATCAGTTGATTAAGATTGCTTGGTCGGATCCCATTCAGATGCACACGGGACTGATAGCACACCTCTTCTTCAGTAGAGAGTCGCAGTATCTGGCCAGCAGCTCTGGAGACTTGCTGGAGGACTGAGCCATCCTGGTGACGGCGTTGTTGTTGATGAAGCGACCACACGCCTGTGAAAACAATTGCAATGAAATTACAATTTAGAATGACACCTGAAAATGTTGAGAAAGCAACACTGAAGAACTCAGATAATTGCAGATGTTAAGGGCAGATGTTTAGTTTCTCTACCTTATCGAGCGCTGCCACAAAGCCGGCGTCGTTGTTGAAGGCAGACATGACCAAGGCGTTGTATTTCTTATGGACGTCCAGCGTGGTCTGCACGTACACTTTGGGGTCCTGGAGGAAAACACACATATTTAGTTCCATTGCAGCTTTTTTGCAAACTTGCCTGCCTTTTTACACCCTCACACGATTAATAATTGTTTGATGATTGTTCCTCTCGTGAGAAAGGGCCCCGTTCCGTGTGGCAAAGACAGAAAGATACTAAGCTCATTTCTATTCTTGGTGCCTCATTAAGGTGGTCTAAAAGCACTTTTTAAAGTACATTTCCTAATTTGTAACATTATGTAACTGCCCCAGCTTTAAAGATTATTCTGGAAAATAATCAGGCAATCATTTTAATAACAGCTTAATCAGTATTCATGCAAAATTGACATTTTCAGCCTCTCAAATTTGGAGTTGTCCTGCTCTTCTCCGTTTTCTATTATATTACGTACGTTGAGCGCGGCCTCTCCACACTTCTCGATGGCAGCCAGGCCCTGGTTGTGGATGTGAGTCTCCAGAAGTTTCTTCAGTTCTCCGAGGCCATCTGTGATGCGGGACACCAGGTTGTACATCCGGCCCAGGTCTGAGAGGAGAAATTAGATTTTTTTTTTTAAAACACCTTTTAAATACAAACTTCTTCCTTATTTCAGAACTAGCTATGTACACTCATTGAAATTCAGATTGCAGGTTTACCTTCATTCTTGTCGGCATCCAGCAGGTTCTGGAACTCGGTGTGGAAGATCTCCAGGTGCTTCTCGATCAGGACCTGCTCACACTTCCGGGCCAGCTCGTCTTGTGTGGACTCGTGGAGATACACCTGCACACGCCGCTGCTCCTCCAGCAGACGAGCCTCCGCCTGAGCACACACACACAAACACTCTTAAGTACCACAAGCTAATAATGTTGAACTACACATTGGACAACAAAGCTTGTGAATCTTGGAAAACTATACATTTTAGATTAATCAATCAACAACTTCATTAATCCCGCAAGGGGCAATTGGTTATGAGGTTATGTTATTGGTCATAGCATCACAATAATAAATAAATAAGTAAGTAAATAATCAAGTTAAAAGCCTTTCAAGAATTTAAAAGTTTGAGTGCAGAAGGGATGAATGATTAAGCGATTAGTCTTTAGAGCAGGTAGAGCATATCTACGCCCTGATGGCAACAGATGAAATTCATGCCCAGGAGAGGCCAGAAGGCTCTCTGCTTTCCGCAGAATCTGTTGGTTACAGAAGGAGTTTAAGTTTCTCTGTTTCACGCCGATGATCTTAGAGCAGGTTTTAACAATTCTGTTCAGGCTGTTCCTGTTTTTCAGTGTAAGGCTAAGGAACCAGCAGATAAAGAAAAACAAATAAGGCTCTCAATGAATGATTGTTAAAAACGACAAAGAATGAAAGGCCTGACAGAGAAAGAGTTCGGTTTGCGAAGAAGGGGCATTCTCTGTTGACCCCGGTTCACAATACACTCAGTATTCACATCAAATTTGAGGTGGTCATCAAAAATGGTGCCCAAGTATTTATATGATGTGACAATTTNACTCCACTGCACGTTGTGCAATTTGGAAAAGACAAACCAGCGAACAATCGTCGGTAAGGCGCTACCTCTCGCTGCCAAAGTCCGTCCCGGGTATTACTATCGGGATATCAAATTAGATATGGGTGTGTATTTGTATACCTTTACCCAATGATAAATTATTTTTTTACAAAATATTTACATAAATCCTTGATTAGGTACACCTAAAATTCACCCCCAGCTGGAGGTAGAGATCCCCCAGCGCCCCGTACGAGGGCCATTCTAAATTAAAACCTCAATTACGTAGTAGACCACGTAAAACTGCCCCCTTTATTTCTCTGATCTAGATACCTTTGTGATATAATTCGTGACAATTATGCTAAAGTTATTAGATTTAGTTACCGATATTGGTTATTGTCATGTAGAAGTTATACTTTTTTTGACTTGAACAAATACATTAAATAAAAACTAAGTAAATACTCACACAACACGAGTGACCTGGTCGGAGAGGACAGAGAGAGGAGAAGAGGATCAATGTGAACAAATAAATAAATAAGTGACGTATAAAATGATAGTGTAATGTAATGTAAAGAAATCGACTGCGAAAATAGGTTCGCTGAATATTACTGCTAATGTCCCTAAGAGGGACCTCATTGATTCCCGATTCACTGAATGAGTTCCCGTGTGATCTTACTTAGGTGGAAGCTAGAAGTCGGGGAGTGATAGGAATCTGGTCCCCAGGACCAGTGTATAACTGTTTTTCTCGAAAACAAGGAAAAGGTTCTTTTTTTTAACAGACCTGCGATTGTATAAAGATCGAACGACAAATATTTCAACATAATAACATATAGTCTGTTTTGAGCAAAAAAAACGTAAATAATCGATAAAATAATGCAATATATCCCCCCCCGCTACCACCACCCCCCCAAGTATATTTCAGATCTGTGGGAAACACTAGAAACTAATTATAAAATGTGTAGGGATATAATACTGGTTATTCATTATCTTTTGGTTTTACTTTACAAAAACAAGGTTTAAATAAAATAATGATTATCATCATTGCCATTTAAATAAAATGAATCTCCCTCCAAGTTTATAATGTTGAAGTGTTAGTATTCATTTTATCGTTTTCAATTGGCAAAATTATCACATAATAACTTCTATCAACCATTATATCAGTAGATAACAAACCACATATTCAGCGTGAACTGTAAATATAGCAAAGGCAATTTGTTTTATTCAAATATGAATAAAATAATAAAACTCCTCAAAAGAATAGGATGCAAACTTTTGAATGTAATAATACAGCAACACTTTCTTTTGATTGACCTGAGAGAAACCTGCATCACAATAAAACGTGTGCAAACTAAAGATTTAGATTACACTTGATTACATTTCACATCATTAATCCAAATCTGTAAAGAAGCTAAAGGGATTAAATACATGTAGTGGAGTAAAAGTACACCATTTACCTCTGAATTGTAGTACACAGTAGCATTACATGGAAATACTCAAGTAAAGTACAAGTACCTCATATTGTCTACTTAAGTATATTTGAGTAAATGTACTTAGTTACTTCCCACCTCTGCTTATGTCAGCTGAGGTCAAACGTTTTGTCAATGGGACTTTTATTTTGAAAGGACACATCAGGATGTTATGGGTCAGCTTGACTCCCGCCTCTCATACGGAGTAGTAGACACTCGGTGCAGGGCATGTGACGGAGAGCTGCTCACTGATCCCCGGGGACCGGAGGGTTGTATCGGACATGTCTTCCCGGCCGGACCGAGACACCGGCAGGTACCGGAGGAAGAGCTCTACCGAAGGCCAGTACCGGGAGGAGAAGTCACACCGGCACGGCAGAATAGGTATCTGTACTCATACTTATAATATAGGAGCCATCAATTACTCTACACATTTGAGGTACTTTGTATTTTCATTTACGCATAACTGCACTACATTTAATTTACAGATTCAGTACTTTTACTTAAGTACTTTTCTCGATGCCTTAGGCCTACTACTTGAAAGAGAATATGTTTACAGTGTGGTATTAGTACTTTTACTCAAGTAAAGAATTGTAATAGCCTACTTTTTCCACCACTGTATAGGGGCAATATCATATGATCATTTTTTGTTAATACCAGTCTATGGTTGATACATGTGAGACTGACCGTTGAGCGGCCCGATCAAGCAAGGAGGCAGAGGCAGAACGTCCAAAAATATAACGCGACGTGGGCATTTATTAAAACACTGTGCACAAAGTTCACACATAATGACACAGCCTCAATAAGTGGTTCCCGTGCCCAGCCTGCGGCCACCAGCAGCTCACACAGGCTGACTCTCAGCGCAACAAGGAACAGCACTTAAATATACAGACTAATTAGACACAGGTGAGGGGGAACAATTAAACACAGGTGAGGGGGGAGGAGACAACCCAGGGCCCCAGGTGCACACAATCATCAGCCACAGACATTCAACATATTATTTGCACCCTGATTACCCTCAACCGCTGTCACCATTATACCAGCATCCAGACGACATTTCAATAAATAAGGTTTATGTAATACATTATGTGCAAATACCAATCCAATGTTAACTGTCCTATGCAATCCCGCTAATAAAGTGCAATATTACCCGGCCCAAAGCCGTCAGTCCATAGTGGCGAAGTGACCTTCGTCACAATACACAACATTTTAAAAAGTCGTGATCTAAGAGTTAAATAAAAGTATTTTGTGTATTTAAAAAGTAATCTATATTAATGTACCAGTTATAATTGGCTAATGGACAATATAATAAATTAACCATCCCTGATTATTCACCCTAATAACAAATAGTATTTATAACTGAAGTAGGCTATGGCGTATATGTGATTTGGTCATGTTTACGGTTGTTATTATTTTATCCTTAATCCTTGTGGATCCTCTCCAGTTTAAAAGAGCGCCATTTAAATAATAAAAGTCTGGTTAGCTATAATGTTTAAAACCTTTAAAATTAATTAAAAGATCAATAATCTATGAATATTATAATATTACTTGTATTGCTGGACATAACGTAGTGTCACACTGGATACTTCAGTTTCCCATAACACACTTGTGCAACCGACTGGCTCCAAACAAGTTGTGATGTCAACATTGCTGCTGATATGGTGTTAAACTGACATCCAAACTCTGCCAAACATATCTGTACAGTGAAGCAAAATGAAACAAATTATATTATTTTAATAATCACTCATACATCCCAGATGTACTTGCTTTCTCATCAACAGTGACACCTTGAAGACCCTAACCCATCAGCCACAAGCTCTGTGCTTAAAATAAAAGTAAGCCTCTTGCCATGTTGGTCACGTTCACTTCTTCATGTTTCTAACAGTGCGTGGATTCTCCAGAGATTCTGCAAGTCTAAAGAGAACTGTCTCCATATGTGAGGAAAACTTCCCAACAGGTAAGAGACTGGAATACCGCTCGTGTTTAGATGGTTAAATCTTTGAGAACCAGGACTAGGAGAGCTTTTCTGATGTTTTGAGGTCAATGCCTAATCTCAATGTTTGTGCTAGAGCTTTGCAAAATAAGGGTTACCATCCAGCCAACTATCCTAACCTTTACCATATGTGGGAATTGAATGGTTAAGGGTATATTGACCCTTGAATGGCTGAGCATTGCTAATCGTGGCTAACCAGATCACATAATAATCAATTGATTCCATCCAGAAAAATAACACCTTTTTGAAATATTGCCATAAAAGTTGATACAGAAGATGAATCCTAATGACTTTCTGCAACAGCTGGAGTGAGCTCAGTTAATGGACTCAACCGCACGACTCAGAAACACAGGCTTTAAAAAAGACAGTCTACTTGATAAAGTTCGGGACACAGTTGATACGCAATACAGGAACCCAAAACAGACGAGGAGTAGGCAAAACTGGGTCAGGAAACATAGTAAGGTCAGGTACACGATAAACACTAATCACTGGGAGAAACTGCTGGAACACTTGACTCGGAGGTACAAAGAGGAACTGGTACCGAGGGGAGTGGAGACACACACTATACACACAGGGAGAGGATGACACTGGGGCACATGGAGACTAACTGAGATGATACACAGGTGAGGAACAATCCAGAGTGGTGACTCTGGAACGAGAAGAGGTGTAACGATATAAGAGAGGAATTACAAAATTGCAAAAACAAAGTTAACCTGAGAGGACCTTACACTTCCGTAAACTCCTACATTTTCGTTTAGCGACCCCGCCTGGTCAAAACCTTCAAAACTGAGGCCATTCCCATCAGCCTCAGCTGTAGGCTGCTTTGTGTTACACACTGATAAACAAATGTTAGCATGCTAATTTGCTAAGCTAGGATGGTAAACGTCATACCTGCTTAATAGCGGCATTAAAGCATTGTTAGCTAGACCCTCCAGAAAAACGCGGGCAAAAATGCTTTATTATGCGGGCTAAATTCCTTGATTATGCGGGCTAAAATCCTTGATTATGCGATTAAACATGCGGGGTTTTTATGTGATTTTATGCGGTGAAATTGCGGGAAGTTGCGAAATATGCGGAAAGTTGCGAAATATGCGGGGAAAAAGAATAACAATTTTTTAATATTGGGCTGTCTTATTTATTCTCTCTCACACACAAACTGCCACTAACGTTAAACCCCTTTACTATTCAATTAAACACATTCAATGTTTATTTATTGTAAAAGCAATTGGGCTTTTTTAATCTCACACACACCCCCCCCACACACACACACACACACACACTTCTCCGCCTCATTCCGTTTCATTTACTCGTTCGTTATCTGACCAGCTTCAATCGTGTAGGCTACTCACTTCGTTTCTTGTAGCCCTTGAAAGGGTTTTGGAGGTTGATGCCTTGCTGAACGTGAGTTGTTTGGCTTTCTTGTCCGCAGCAGCAGAAAGCATTTTCGAATGTTTGAATGAATCAAAGTGGGTCGTCCCCGTCGATTTTCTCTTATGCTCCAACACACAGTTGCACGGGGTGCAGAATAGTTTCCCCCCACTTTTTGCCCCGTTTTTAGTAGAAATGTTCGTCGGTAAATGAGATGGATTAGATTTTTTCATCTTGGTGTTTTCTCCATCGTATGAGCTCCACACGTTCACTCTATACAGTGTTGTTTACATTCTGTGATGCGCGAGCTGATGACGTCACGTCAAGACGAGTCAACTTTTTCTCTCCTCACTTTGTGTGCCAACCGGCACAGACCTAACGGGGCTTCTCGCGGTTTTGTCTCGGCGGTTTTACAAAATCTGCGCGCATTTGCTTGACTTATGCGGCGCTACATCCGCGCCACTCCAGCACTGCGTTCTTTCTGCAGGCGCGCTCCTAACTACAGATCAACAGCATTTACGTGGCAGCCGGCGTTAATCTCGCGCTCTGCCAGTTTATCTAACCGACCACGTTAAAACCACCGGGCCAGGCTCCTGCACGGCGAGCCCCTGACGGCCGTGGCGGGTGGCTGCTGGCAATAGCCCTGACAGATCACCGGATGGGTCCCGCATTCCCCATTTCTGGCTTCTCTGTGATGGGTGGCGTAATCCGGCCTCGTCATGGTGACCCAACGCCGCACGCATTCGCGGCCTCCCCGCGCGCTCGCCGTCGACAGGCACAATGGCCCTGTGGAACTGCGGGGTCCCGAAACCGCGCTCGGGCCTGGATCCGGGCTCTTCGCCCGCTCTCGCGTACAACCAGAGCTGCTCGGCACTCAGAGGTGGCAGCTGGATGCTGTGTCACGCACACACGGAAATCCTTGCCTGGGAGACAGGCGACGGACTCGCACAGAGTGAGCGGCCGTGCTGGCCGCCTTGGGCTGATCTCCTCTGCTTCCGTCAGCGGGGCCAGATGGTGGACGCCGGCTCTACCAGCATCACCACGCGAGTTGGAGAGGGCCAGCGCGATGTCATTCGCCGCCCCCGCCCGCCGGCCTGCGAAAGGCCCAGCCCCTGGTGCACCCGGTCGGCTGCGGGCGACATACTGGTCTCTGGGGGGCGCTCACGTAGGGCGCAGTCGCGGCGATTATGTTTGGCCTGCCTTCCCCCACCACCACGCGCGTCAGGTCTCGGCCTCCAGAGAAGGGGCCGGCTGGGAA